AAACATAACAGCTAGTTTATTAGACGAAGAAAAGAGCCTGACAGCTTTTGAAGAATCTGAGTCTTTGGCTACTCTAAGCCTTAGAGATGGAAAGTTTCTGATGAACTGCTATACCTGCAATCGCAGGGGTCACATAGCACGAAATTGTACAGAAAAAATAACAGAAAGGCAACCTAAAAAAGATGTCAATGTCAATGACAAAAGTGGAACCAGTGGTGGATTTGGCAAGAATGCTTGTTCAGTACAAGAATCAGCAATTATTGTGGAAAAACTGGAAAGTGAAGTAACACATGATTTTGTGCTCAATAATGTTTCTTGGCACGATCAATGGATTATGGCGTCGGTCTCATGACATAAGGCCCTATCTCGAGATATGGCTAAAATGAGTTAAGTTCATAGATACTTTGTATTCAGTATATACTAGTTTTTAGCCGAGGGTTTTATCTTGAAATCAGTTCAATTCGTTAAAAAATGAGGAAACACATGACCCTATCTTGAAATATGAATAGTTTTATTACAGCATAAAGGGGAATCTTGAGACACAAATGTAAATTACTATTTTGTAATGTGTTATTTGACAAAAAACTTAAATGGTTTGTTGTTCATAATTCCAAAAAAAAAAGACCAAAAATTGGTATACTTCTTTGTATTCTGTTGGCGTAAAGATATTAGTTTTCTTTTAATTGCTCTCCTGAAAACTTGTGAAAAACGAGATAGGGCCTTATGCCATGAGACCGACGAATTGGATAGTAGGGCATCGGCTCACATGTCATACAGAAAAGACTTTTTCAGTAGCCTTGATGAGAATATTTCAAGCACAGTTGTGTTAGGTAATGGTGAGAGATTATCTGTATAAGGAAAAGGCACAATTAATATACACGCATTGCAGAATGGTGAATGGCACAAAAGCACTATAAATAATGTATTGTTTGTACCAAATCTAAACAAAAATTTGTGAGTCATCACAGGAAGAGGCATGAAAATTATGAAGTAAAATAATTGTGCTGAAATTATAGGTGAAAATGGTGTGCTAGCAACAGCGGTGAAACACTGCAACAATATTTACAAAACGTTATTTCGCACAATTGTGAATTCGGCAAATGTTGCAGTGCAGGGTAGTTTGCAACTCCGACATGAAAGACTTGGACATTTGAGTATTTATGCGATCAAAGAAATGGTCAAAAAGAGTTTGATAACTGGAATTAATCTTAGTGACACCGAAAGTTTTTTTTTTGTGAGGCATGCGCTTATGGTAAACAGCATAAGTTCATTTCACAAGAAAACCGAACACATGAAATTAAAACCTGGAGAACGTGTATACAGCGACCTTTGTGGAACTATGAGTATACCGTCAATGTCAGGTGCAAGGTATTTTATGTTGCTAAAAGATGAAGCATCAGGATCGGGTTATTTATTTCATTAAACTCAAGTCCGACGCACTGGAGTGTTTCAAAGTCTATAACCATAAAATGAAAAACAAAGTTTGGGAAATCAATAACATTTTTGAATGGGGACAATGGCACTGAATTCAGTAACCAGGACTTTAAAAATTATTCGAACACTGAAGGGATTAGCTTTAGGTTCAGTGCGCCATATACTCCTGAGCAAAATGGACAGGCTGAACTTGACAACCGTACGATAGTCGAAAGTGGTCGTTCTATGTTGTGTCAAGGACAGTTTTCAAAATACTTGTGGGATGAGGCAATCAATACGGCTGTTTATATTTTAAATAGAACATTAACAAATCAGACACCCTATTCAAGTATGGCCTGGACAAAAGCCTTATATGGGGCACTTAAAGTTTTCGGATGTGATGCCTATGTATTTGTACCAGATATAAAACGAAGTAAGTTAGATTCTAAAAGTAGAAAATTGATTTTTGTAGGCTATGAATAAAATTCTACAAATTAAAGACTTTTTGATTTGGTAACAAAAAAATCACAATCTCTGGAAATGCTTTGTTTAATGAAAATTTGAGAACAGTGACAATGGAATCTCAAAAATTTAATATTATTATAGATAATGACGACGTTACAGATTTTCCCGATTTAGACCAAAATGATAAGCAAGATGTGATTGAGCCTGAAAATCAAAAGGAAAACGAAAATCCCGAGGAAAATTCTGGAGAAGAGGTTTTTGAAAATATTGATGAAATTCCCAATCTACGACCTCGCAGAAGCTTAAAGCATCCCATCAGGTATGAGGATTACGAATTAAATTTTATAGAATTGGATGTACCACAGTTTTACTCAGAAGCTTTAAGTTCTAGCGATGCTGTTAAATGGCGAATTGCAATTAAGGAGGAACTGGATGCTCTCGAACAAAATAAAACATGGAATTTAATATAAACACCCATTGACAAAAAAGTTTTACACTCAAAATGGATATTCAAAGTGCAGAGAGATTTGAAAGGAGATATTTTTCGTTATAAAGCTAGATTATGTATTAAAGGCTGCGAACAGAAGCAAGAAGTAGACTAAACAGAAATGTATGTAGGTACCTACGACTCGCTATGATTCTATAGGAGTCTTGTTAGCTATTGCAGCTGAAAAAGATTACAAAATAATGCAATTTGATATTAAGACAGCCTTTCTCTACGGCGAGCTTGGAGGAGAAGTGTATATGCATCTTCCTGGAGGTTTAGAGGCTGATAATCCAGAAAATTTAGTATGCAAACTTAACAGATCGTTATACGTACCTACTGAAACAGGCAAGAAGATGCTGGAACAAGACATTTCACAATTTTCTAGAACAGTATGGATTTACAAGACCAAAGGCAGACAAATGTGTTTATAATGGCCATGTTAATGAAACTAAAGTTTTACTGATGTTTTTTGTAGATGATGGACTAGTGATTTCAGCAAACCAAATTGTGATTGAGCAAGTTTTATCAGAATTAAAGACAAAGGAAATAAAATTCACTGAACTAAAATACTATCTGGGATTGGAAATAAAAAGAAATATACAGAATGGCACTATTTTTCTGATTCAAGAAAACTACACTAAACAAATAATTACCAGATTTAGAATGGAAGAAGAAAAGCCTAGCAGTATTCCTGCAGATCCAAAAAGTGAAAATTGGATTGAGAAAACAGAATTCCTAAAGGAAAATGATGTACAGTGAGAATCATTGCAATTGGCACACACTTTATAAGCATCCCCCGTAATGCGTCAAAATTTGACTTCTTTGACACACAGGTAATGTCAAAATCGTGTCAAATTGATAAATCAGTGGTGAACATAGTAGTTTTGATAAACTTTTGAAGGAAGAAAATATTTATGCTTAGCAATTTATTGTTAAGTTCAATTCATGATTTTGTTAAGTTTGGTTCTTGATTTCTATGTTGATTTGGTATGTTACATGATGTTAGGCTTTTGCGGGGTAATGTTGTACTATTATATTGTTGTTTGAAATGATTAAAATATTACGTACCCCGCTGCACTGAATAGATTTATTGGTTAGAATTTCGACTTAATACGAGGGACGTTAAAAGAGTCTGTGCCAATTGCAATGATTCCCACTGTACCATATAGACAGGCTATTGGGTCTTTATTATTTTTAGCCACTGTGACAAGACCTGACATTTTATTTGCAGTGGGAGTTTTAAGCAGATATGTGAACCAGCATACAAGAGAACACTAGAATGGAGTTAAAAAAATAATTCGGTATTTGATTGGTACAACAAATTTTGGTATCCTCTACAAAAAAGGTAAAAAAGAAAGTGATCTTGTCGGTTACACCGACTCCGATTTTGCAGGAGATGGTGTAAGCAGAAAATCTACTAGTAACTACATTTTCAAGTTAAGTGGTGGACCAGTAACATGGACTAGCAAAAAGCAAAATACTATCGCACTCTCTATAGCAGCTTCGAATGCAGTCAAGGAGGTACCTACCTACTTTGGTTGATTAGGTTGATACAATTACTTAGTGACATCAGTGAAGATGAAAAAGCAATCAAACCAATACACATTTTTATTGACAATCAGAATGCCATCAATTAATAAAAAATCCTGAATTTCTCAACCGTTCTAATCATATTAACGTGAGGTATCACTTCATAAGAGAGAGATTCGAAAAAGGTGATATTTTCCCTCAATATATACAAACTGATAAACAACAGGCGGATATTTTCACGAAGAGTTTACGAAAAGCTCAGTTTGAGTTTCTTCCGAAAATTGGAATACAGAAACTATCATAAAGACACTTAAGTTTGTGCATTTATTCATGAAAGTTGATTTGTTTTATAGTTAATATTAGTTTCAGAGGTAGTGGTAGATAAGTTAGTTTTGTTTTTTTTTTTAAGGCTTTACAGAAACTGGGAGTATTGCATTATTATTAATGAGGATGTGATTTTGTAAAGCCTGCTATCTTACATACCTATCTATGAATTGTTTACCTAGCTGTTAGTCAATTGTTCATATTCTCGTTGAGTTGACATCGTTTGGGTTAGTTTTTTGGTAGAAATAATAATTAGAATTGTGAAATCGTTTGTCGATGAAAGTTGTCCCTTTATTTTTATTATACTCAATAAAAGTGATAAAAAATCAATACAGTTGCTGAAGCATAACTGGAAAACATCATAGCCAGTATCGGTGGAGCTTTATACCGATACCTAAGGACCTAGGAATTTCGAGTCCGAAGTATGGAAACAGCTGAAAACGTTACTGAGAATAGGGCAAACGAGTCTTACTTCATCCGCAATCCGACAGAATGGTTGACAGGCCCAATTGGACAAATAACCAATACCTCTTGATGTTTGAGCTTCCAGCAAATAGATTGTGCTCAGAAACCAATATTTATGCCGGTAACTGTGATATATTTAACTGTAGCCTGACTGTTCTTAAACAATTTCTTTGAAGAACACTGGAATAAGACTGTTTGTTTGTTTTTAATATTTATTTAATTGTTGAATTTGCAGAAAATGGATTTCCGTTAAAAAATATTTATTTATTTAATTAAAGCGATAGGTGATAGGTAAGTAAATTTTTATAAAGTCAATTTGTTCAATGAATGCGTTTATTATTTGTAACTGAATTTTAGTCGACGTTTTACCAGAATCCGGGACAATATTTACAAACAGAAATGAACTTAGGCTTTATTATTCTTAGATATAATATGGGAAGCCCAATTTAATGACGTTTTCCACGAGTTTGAAAGGGCCTCATTGAATTTAGCTCTAAAGTGTTCCAGAGCTTCGTCGTCGGTTTTGGATAGAACCTGAAAAACAAGAAATACAACTGTTATGATAAATAGAATAATAAATACAAGGCGAGCAAATGGAAACGAAAGATCACAGACTATTCAACCGGAAATTTTTCGCTTTTATTTCAAACTTGGCTCACTTGAAACCATTAGCCAAATTTCACATACAAAATAATATAATAGTTTGCGCGGAATTAGCGATCCTTCAAAAACGCATTAAGCTTTTTTTTATCAGTATTGCATCTTGTTTTTAGAATGTGTCATTTGGAAGGTCTTTAATAGTTCCAACTTTCGAACAACCTCTACACCTGGTGAATTTTAACATTGATTTTCGTAAAGTCAAGCAAGATATTACAGATTCTCAAAAATTTACTCAAATCAATCAAATCTTCAAAATGATGACCTCTGACTTCTATTCAGTAGTTTATAGGAATAATATCGGCGAAGTACTAGAAATTCTACTCTTCGAGTGGCCTCACAAAAAAAGTTTTGATTCTGATGACTTTCACCCCACTTCCCTGCCACTCTGACTCTGCAGCGAATCCATTATCCAGGATATGTTTTGTGAATATACGCCAACGCTGCTTTTATCAGAAAAATACATTCAAAAAGCATTTAATTAATTGACAAATTTTAAAAATTTACTGGTAGAAATAACTTTTTTCATATTCCTTTTTGAGCGCGTTTGAGATATGTTTCCAAAAAAAGCACATGTAGCTTCTTTTATCCGGCTCTTTTCTTATTGTATAAATTTGAATACTTATTTTAAATGTATATTTTTCGTGACTTTTTATGCGAGATAGGATCGACGATGACTTAATCGTGTCAGTTTCGTTTTTATTGGCTCAACCATGATATGTGGTATTTAAGACAAAATTCTGATATTACCAAAGTTTCCCTTAAATATTGAAGATCCTTTTCGGAAGTCAATTCAGGCAAACCTGTAGAGATCATCATAGCAAACAAGGATAGTATCAAATTTCCATGCTTCCTTAATATCATAAAAGCCTAAAAGATTAAAATATTAATTTATACTATTCAATATATAAATGCTACCTTTTCACACCATTCCTGAAATATAATAAACTCCAAAGCTTTATTGGGCTGTTGATTTTCTTTCTGTCCTTTATTTATAACATAAACAAAATCGTGAGTTAATACAAAAGGTACTCTTTCTCTCTTAATACCAAATTTCTCTTTGAAATGTCCTAAAATATGTCCAAAATCTATATGAAACAATTGCCCAGTCTTTTTTATCATAATATTATCCGAATGCCTATCAGCTATTCCCAAAACATATGTGGCTACACAATATCCAGCACATGATAAAGTGAATTCTTCTATTGCCTTTGATAATGCCTTTTCTGTTGGATTGTAATCTCTCAACCAAGCTAAAATTGAGCCTTTTTTAAATGAAGCAACCACAGTGTTGCCTTTTTCTTTTTGAATATTTGCAATTGTTTCTGCATTTAGAACTACTTGTATCATTCCTACTCTATTTTCTAAAGATATGCAATTGTATGGGTTCATTCTGAGATCAAGACCTTCACGTTTCCATAATCTGTCCATGACTTTTAGCATTTGTAAAGTGAGCATGTCTTGCCTAAGATCATCGCCGTTTTTAAAAATTATATAAATATCCTCTCCATAAGTATCAAAATTTTCATAAACAATCCACAAAGGTCTCATTTTGCTATCCATTACTCTACATTTGTCTACTTTAATCCTATGGCAGCGATAACTGGGATCCAAGGGACTTCTTACAGTATGCTTATCGTCGTTATTACTTAAATGTTCTCTTAGGGCAGCTTTAGCTTTTTCTTTATCCTTTCTACTGCGAACAATTTCGCTGCTTTGTTTGAGCATGTCTATGGATTTCAATTGACGCTGTAGTAAAGCAATGTGTTCCTGACTACCGCGACAGTAGGCTTCAAGAATTAAGCCGAAACGAACTGAGACAGCAGCGATTTGCATTTCGCATCTAGAAGAGAAAAACTAAATTAAAAAAATATATTTTATAAGCATTTTCTATGTTGAGTTGAGTTGATTAAGTTGGTGAGCTCTATTTTTCACAGCTAACCAGAGTTAAAACAAAAAGTCGCGTGTAGCACAGTACACCTAATAGAAGTGAATACCTACTTCTTTACCGTAATACCAGGTATACCACAGATGGCACAAATGCGCATGAGGAGGATCATTAGTGTGTTAGATACCCTATAAGGCATATACTTTATCTCTCTTTCGAGACGAAAATTTTATAAACCGTGACGTGATGCGACCTTGAAAAATCATTCTCATGCAGCCAAAGAAGTATTCACTCAAAAGTTCCTAATTATTTTTTTACTCCTGTACTTAGTCATGGCATCACTTCTAAAGAGAAGTGTAGTATCCTTAGGGTTGGGTAAATTTCACTTTTCACTTCATCTGGAAATTTCACTCTGAAATTTTCATGGAAATATTGAAATTTTTGAAATTTCCGTGAAATTTTTGAAAATTTTTGAATTTTTCTGAAAATTTCCAAAATATCATGAAATTTTCAGTGAAACTTCATGAAATTTGATGAAATTTTTAACAAAATTCAATTATTGTGATGTGACATGACTACATATGTGACAGTGTATAAGTATTAATATTGTGTTTATGAGGTGGTGGTAGGATAGGTCATTTTATTCTGGCTTAAGTGTTGCATGTAAATAAACAATAACTATTTTTACAGCCGTGCGGAAAAATCAATTTTCCGCACTAATACCCGTGCGAATAATTAGTTTTCCCGCACTAGTGCGAAAAAGTTGTTCCGCACGAATATTGCTGGGGAAAGTTTTTTTCCGCAAGGCTGTCAAAAAAAAAATTAATAAATCACTACAAATTATGTAGGTACTAGCTGACTCGGCGAACTTCGTTCCTCCTCTGAATTATTAAATACCTATTAAATGTTGTGTTAACGTATCTAAAGTGCGTTTTTTTTTTAAAGATAAAAGTCAAAATGACATTTTGTTGGCAATACAATGTAAAATTGTCAATGCTTTCAAAATTTTTATGTAGAAAAGGCTTGTGTTGCCAACATAGTTACTAAATTTTTAAATTGGAGAATTATCTTTAAAAAAAAACAGATTTTATTAACTGAATTAAATTCAGTTTTTTTCGATGGTGAATTTGGCTTTGGTTGAAGAAAATTAATTTTTACTCTCTGGATCAGAAGTCACCTAAAATTAAAATTTTACATCATCCCTTTTTAGGCATCTTGTGGGCATTATTCTTATAAAGTCTACCACCAAATAAATACACTCAGGCACAAGAATGTTCAAAAAATGTAAAGAAAACAAAAAAATCACCAGCGCAGCCCTGTTTCATTTTATCTGCACTGCAATACTCCATCTGTTCTACTGTATCTGCACTATTCTATCTGATCTACTCTTTCTGCACCACTTTATCTGATCGGAATAGTGGAATAGTTCTGTTTGGAATAGCTCCAGTTCCTTAGCAGTATTCTGTTCTACTGTATCTGCAATGAAATTACCGCACAACGGCGAGCTTCGTTCTAGGTACCTATCATATATGGCGCCGTATACAAAATGGTTGTGGCGGACTCTTAACCTGGCTCTCTGCCACTCGATACCAGCCGGACGGAGCACTCCGAACAGTCGCCACGGAACACGGCTGTCAAGGGATGCCTAAGAGGCGAAACGGAACTTAGTCACAGAACGTCAATGGTCAAGCGTCAAGAAATGACAGGGAGACCAGTTCGCGCTCTTTCGGAATGAACGAACCAACAACAAAATAAAATACACAATTAAAACATTGTCATTCTATTTATTTTTGGATATTTTTACTGTGAAGGACAATTAAAAATAAAGTGCTTTCCTCAAATTGTTTTTGTGCAAAGTGTGTGACAATAAAATCTACATGGTTTGCAATGAAAATGTGACGGTAAACTTGGTATCGGTTATAAGAGATGGCGCCGTATGCGGGCTTAGTGAGTTTTTTTCATAAATAAGTAAAATAGATTTTTTTTTTTTTTTTTGGATTTTTTCGATTTATTATCGTAGGATGGACAAAGACAAATCCAATAAAGCAAAAATCATAAAAATCAGTCCCGCCGTTCTCCAGTTATAAGTGCTCAACACCAACACAACTGTGTTTTATATATATAGATAGATATTTCCGCACGTCTGTAGAAAAACTATTGTACCTAACACTTGCGGAAAATGTTTTTTCCGCACTCTGCTGCTTCACCGAACTTCGCTACGCGTCGTTCGGTGAACGGCAGACTCGTGCGAAAAAAAATCATTTTCTGCACTTGTTAGGTAAATAGCTATTTCCTAACAAGTGCGGGAGGAGACAGTTTCTTCCCACAAGCTTTAGGAAATATATTTTTTCTACAATCGTTCTAACGGTGATGTTACGAAAAATGTAATTTACATGAAATGCGACTGCGCAGAAGGTAAATTTATGAATGTATTGAACAGTATTTATAAAAAAAGGTAAAGGTAAAAAAAAATTAGGTGTATCAACAATACAAACAATTCGACGATAAAGGGATTATTTGCTACTGCCGCACCAGTGCGGGAAGAAAGTCTGCCCGAACAGCAAATAGTGCGGAAAGAGTCATTTCCCGCAGGCTCGTAGAAAAAACACATTCTACCTTTCTGTTATTTATTTCGTAGTCAGTCGAGTGAAGTAGCTCCAAATATTGTTTTTTGGTTTAACTGTATTTATCATAAGTTCAGGCTTCCAACATGAAATTCACCTGCCTCGGAAACTTGTTTTGTCGTGTCGTGTCGTGTGAAATCGAATCGTGGCAAATTAATTCTAACCTAAGCTAAGAATTGAGATTCCAACAATCCAAAGCAAGACAACCACCAATACAACCAGTGAACAGCGTTGCAAGTTACGGCGTTGCCATTATTGCCAATAACTCCTTGAATTTCCCGGCGAAACATGTACACTTTTTGGAAATTTCGATGAAATTTATGAAATTTCCAATGAAACATATGAAATTTTCTACAAAGTTTGGGAAATTTCAAATTGAAAATTTCACCTGTAATTTCTGTGAAATTTCACTTTTTTCGAATATTGAAAATTTCACATTTGAATATTTCAAACATGGAAATTTCATTTGAAAATTTCAAACGGCACAACCCTAAGTATCCTATTACATAAAGTCGGATTTTTTTTTAAAATGTGTAATAAATAGTTGGGTAAATACTGTAGGGTTCGTAATCCATCCGTGACTCGCACTCCACAGTCGATAGACTAACTAACCACACTATCGCTCTGCCAAGTGGTTGTCCGGGTTGATCAATGTCATGTCACCATCGATTCCGTACACTACAAACCTTCCTTTCTTGCAAAAAATAAAACACAAACCTTCACAAAGAAATATGCACATTTGATATACAGGGTGAGTAGAAAGTACTGCAAAGCTTAAATATCTTCAAACTCGCTTAGCCCCGTTCCCACAATTCGGAATCTGACAGTTTTTGGGCATGCAGAATTGAACAGTGCTATCGGCAATGTTGCCAGATTTCCCAGTTTTGCGCTACACGTAGTCTTGTGGTTATCTTAAATAGAATGCAAAATTTATTTTTATTGCGGTGAATTGGGCGTGTCAAATTTGATGAGACTCAAAATTTTCAGAATTCTATCTCTACTAGTTGCTGAAATATGCCAACACCGCATTTTCAGTAAAAAGTATCGCAAAGTTTGAATATCTTCAAAAGTCGCCTAAGCACGTTCATACGAATTCGGGGGGGTTTTGGGATAGTGAAATTCAACAGACATATTGGCATTGTTGCCAGATTTCCCAGTTTTGCGTTACGCGTAGTCTTGATTGTTATCTTGAATGAAATGCCCCGTTTAACTTAAGCGGGTTTTACTGAAAATACGGTGTAGGCATATTTCGGAAACTAGTAGAGTTAAAATTCTGAAAATTTTGAATCTTATCAAATTTGTTACTCCCAATTCACTACAATAAAAATAAATGTTGCATTCTTTTCAAGATAACAACAAAACTATGTGTAGCTCAAAACTGGAAAATCTGGCAACACTGACAATAGCACTGTTGAATCCCGAATGTCGAAAAACTGTCAAGATTCCGAATTGTGGGAACGCGGCTTAAGCGGTTTTGAAGATATTTAAGCGTTGCAGTACTTTTTACTGAAAATGCGGTGTTGGCATATTTAAGCATTTAGTAGAGATAGAATTCTGAAAATTTGGAATCTTATCAAATTTGGCACGCCCAATTTATGGCAATAAAAATAAATGGGGCATTCTATTTAACATAACAGAAAGACTACGTGTTGCGCAAAACTGGGAAATCTGGCAACATTGCCCATAGCACTGTTCAATCCCGTATGTCCAAAAACTGTCAAATTCCGAATTGTGTGAACGCGGCCTAAGCGGTTATGAAGATATTTAAGGGTTGCAGTACTTTCTACCAACCCTGTATAACTTGATAACATAAGAACTAAAGCATGTTATACATGAATTAGGGATAAGCTTAGTCCCTAGCAGGCATTATCCGTTATTTTCCATTTATTCCCTACTCGTTTCATGTGGAACATGCATTTCACCTTACCTCTTCACCGGTAGTACATCACTTGTGTGGCATCAAAAGTTGGGTCTATTTTGTTCTCCTACCGCACACGTTTTAGGAGTACTGTCTATGCTTATGCGATTTCACTATCTCTAGCGTGTTTTCGTTTGTCCCCATATTAGGTACATATTTTCCTTTTTGTTTCTCCAGACTATCTTTATCTCGTATTTGTTCTATATTGAAGTTAGTGATCATTCTGTAGTGTTTCCGAACGTTGTTGACATATCATGGTTTTTAATTTCAAAGTTATAAAGATCGTCACATGTTGATGTAAAGCTTGTTTTAAATCCAACTTTGAGAAAAAATCGCTTTACACAGTTATGGCCGAAATGTGTTATCGTGGGCAATGGATGGTTGTCTCGTAGTATGTAATCGGAGGTGTCTATTCTGAATGTCCGTCTACTACGTTCTATAAATCGCTCTGAAACAATTTGTTGAGTAGCTTATCGAGCATTTCCTCAAGTGACACTGGTGTACTTCACAAAGGTTGAATAACTGGAAGGTAGAGGTGGAGAACTATCGATGGCGCTATCGATAACTATCGATAGTATTGACTATCGAAATACATCGATAGTTTTTTTAAACTATCGATTGTCGATAGTTGGCTGTAACGCCCGTTAGTAAGCGAAAGTTAGGTTCGTGCACAAAACTGAATTTCAAAAATGCAAAACAGAACAGTTTTAACTGGTTTGGAAACCTTTTTTGATTTCCTTGCTTTATTGGTTAAGGACAATGGCAAATTTTCTGACAATTATAAAAAGTAATCTAAAAGGTCTGAAAGGATTTTCAGTACTGCTGGTGCCTGGTGCCATTATTTCTGACAAATGATCTTGTCTGAAAGCGTTTTGTGCTGAAAGCCAAAAACGTTGAATTGTTGAAATGATTATGATAATGATTTTTTACAAAAATTCTAGAATTTTGGAATAAGATAAATATTTTTAGTTTTAGAAAGAAATTCTGCAAATGAGATATCAGAGGCGGAATTCTGTAACGGATAGAGATCGTTATCCCTATCGCTATGGCACTTGCTGTCTTCTTCTCTCTTTTCGAAATCAATAGAGAGGAGACGTAGGTACTTCAATAAAAATAGCGAAAATCATGCGAAAATATCTCTATTCCTTGCAGAATTCCACTGCAGATGTTGATGTTGAAGTTCAATATTTAGCTATTTCCTAGAAACAAAGATTTTTAGTACACAGATATCTTTTCTTTTACCTTGTAACTTGTATTTAATTACTATCGAAAACTATCGATATTTATCGATAGTCAAGGTCCTGACTATCGATAACTATCGATGGCCGTGACTATCGATAGTTCTCCACCTTTACTGGAAGGACATTATTATCTATTCGAATATCTATGAAAATTCCTTCTATCTTCGGAAATTCGGTTTCTGAGGATTCTACCTTGATTGATACTGTGTTCAATCCTATTCGTATCTTAACGTTTTCCTTCCTAGTAAGTTTGTTTCTCCACGACATAAATTATATCTTTGTTGGCTACACTAATATTTGGTTCAAACGATCCTAACAAGAGCAACTGTTCTGGGTTTGCGTAGGATCGAAATAAGTTATCTAGCCTCTTTTTTTGATTGGTAAATTTCACTCTCTTTTCCTTCAGTAGTCGCCAAGTAGATTCACTTATAATGTTGCTTTTGCTCCCAGAATCAATGACTAAATTAATTTTAACACCTCCCTAAGTAAACTGAATTTTGTCATCTCCATCAATGTGGAAAAAATTTTCTTCTGAAAAATTGCCATCATCCAGTAAGTTCACATTTACTGTGATTTTTTTTTCTTAGATGTGCCAAATTGACGATTATCCTCTTGATTGTTTCTTTTAAACCTCTACCATTATTATACAATTTTTGTAGATTATATCTTCGATAATATGGCAAATTTTGATTTGATTTGATTTGAAGCACATCACACACAAGTAAAATAGAAAAATATTTATCGAGATCCATCCATGCAGGCGATAGACTAAACCTCTATTGCCCTGCCAAGTGGTTGTCCAAGTAAACCATTACATATATTATCTGGAGGGCTTTATTTGAAATTGATGCAACTTTGCGTACACGCAAATGACGTTATTCGTGATTGAAAATTGGTGCACGACTTATTTGACATGCACTTTTTCAATCGCAACTGACGACTGACGTCATTCGCGTCATATTCGCGTGTACGCAAAGTTGCATCAAATTCAAATGAAGCCCCCCCAGGTCACCATCGGCTCCATATACTATAGCTACATTCTGAATTCTGGGATTATACACTGTTTAATGATGAAAGCAACGCATACTTGATGGTTATTAGGACCATGGATATAATTTAAGAAAGGGAAGGGAGTCAAAAAAAAGCATGCCTTAAAGGGGGAGTAATTGACCCCTATAAGAGCATTTTGTTTCAGTAAGTACTTTTTCGTATTAAACATTAATTGGGTGTATGACTGTAATAGAATAATGCTGATTGTACAATAATTTACCTAATGAGAGGCACCTTCCTGAATCATAAAAAAAGTTAGCCTAGCAGTAAACCTTGTATTTAATAATTTTTTTAATGGTTCTATCAACTAAATACAACAAAAACGAAAATAATAAGCATAAAAAGCAGAAAAAAGAAGATTTAAAATATGTATAGTCCTAAAATTCATAACCAAAACATAGAAATGGTGATGCAATTCAAATACTTGGGCTGCTTATTAGATGAAAACTTTACATTTTCTGACTACTATAAAAAAAATTATATTTGTTGTAAAGTGCTATTAATAAAAATATTCATTCATTATTTATGAAGATGCACATAATCATACACCAAATTTTCATAAAATCGAACGTTGGGTTTCAAATTGTAAAATAAGAACAAAGTGTAGGTACCATTGGAAGTGAATGTTGTCCCTCTTAAATGGTTCCCATAGTCCCAGGTCCTTATAAGTGCCTGTGCAAGTGTCTCAAGTCACTCATCATTAAATGCCGTTTAATCTGATAGAGCCACCCTACTAAATAAACCTACACTTCCACTTACCTCAAATGCCAGAACAAATAATGCCCAATTTTCTGGTTTCTCAAAGCTCTTTCAATTAAAAAATTCACTAAATCACACTCAAGATAGAGCTCATGTTTTATGGCTTGCACCAATTGGAGTAGAAAGAGTAAAAGGTCCTCATCACTGAAAAAAAAAAGAGGTTTTAGAAAAAGTTTCATTTAGTACATTTTATGTGTTCTTATAACCTTTCACTGCCTACTAAATTGTCCTCTCCTGACAACCATAAATAAGGATAATTTTCAATATGACTCATTATAAAATGGAATAACTTTTTTTGGTACAATGAATCTTTATTCTATTTATTATAGACTAACTAAATTGCCAAGAAATGAAGAAACAACCTTTTTCAACTAATTTAGGTGCTGAAATAAAAAAATTCAAAAATATCTGATTGAAAGCCCCAGATGGATTTTTGTAACATTTTTCACTTGCTAAAAGCCATAACAACGGCGAAATGCGATAAAAAAGAACAGGGTCACGACCAAAAAATAATTTCAACTGTAAGAGTCGAAAGTTGAAACACTGGATTCTTAGATTTCCCAGAAATCCCCAAACTTGAACTCACTAAGTACTAGGTGTACCAAGTATACAAGCTAGTAGCAGAATGTTGCCCAGTAAATTTTAGCAATCTTTAAGGCAATTCTGACAGCTGTGTAAGCTAAAATTCACTGTGGCAACATCCACATTCTGATAGTTTCCTTACCTTATATCTTTTAAGCACTTAACGGCATACCGTCGAACATCCTGATCAGCAAAAGCATAATCCAACAATTCCAGAGATTTTTCTACAGGTAACTTATCCATAGGCCATTCAGTTAATAATTCCATAACCTGGCTAACTTCTTCACGCTTATCCCAATCTATACACGAAAGTAGTTTAGGCAAAATTTCTGGCATCCTGTGCATCCAAAACCGTCTATGCTTCCATAAATCTTTCCTATCCTGATCGTGGACATCATACAAATTCTCCATATCGTTTAACAGTCTTTGGCAACTCTCCTCAATTTCTTGATTTAAGGGTTCATAGATTTGTTCTTGCTCGACGTTTTTTGCATATTCTAGTACATATTTTGTAGTTGGATATACAACAGTCTTATCGTTATCGAAATTTTTAAAAACCATGGTTAAGGCAGTAGAATAGGCAGTGTTTGGATTGCTAACCACTGTGCCTAATGGATGAAGCACTTCATCAGATAATAAATCTTCAGCATAAGTCCACATGTAAAGTGTCATTGCACCAGTTCGTAATTGGCCTTTGTAATCGTAGACAGAAGTATTGGCCCAAGCTATTGGATTAATTTGACTATCCTAGGTGAAAGAACAAAAATTAATTTAATTTATGAGATAGAAAATCTTTGACACCTTGATTTTTGTCAAGTTTTTTGAAAACAGAAATCGAAATTCAATTAAGTAAATAAGCATTTGAATGTTATATCCTGAGCCCTGAGCTGCTGAAAAAGTTTTTTTCTATTTGAGAACGTATTAAAACCAAATTCAGGAAAATTCTCATTTATTATTCACTAAATGAATGATGCACTATTTTTGAATACATTTTATCCCAGGAGTCCCAATCCCCTTTCTTGCGGCTTTTTAAATTTTTACCCTGTATGATTTTTTGAAAACTAAAAACTAAGAGGTTACCTTTGGATCCTTTGGTTTCCTGGATTTTGTCCTATATTTACTAATTTCATAAACAACAAAACATAATTTAGCATTTCTGGGTATATTACACACTTGGATATCAAATTCTAAAGGAATGTCGAAAGTGACTTCACATTTTTCTGAAACAGATTTTTCTTCGGTTTTCATTGGCTGACATAAAGGCTTTCCGCCGTGGAATAGGCCTACTTGAATACCAAGCTGAAAAAAAAAGTTAAATTTTTAGCAAAAAAAAATATAATAAAATAAATCCGTGTTTACTTCTGGCGCTTTTTTAGTATCACAGTTCAATTGGCTGGCAGTGCTTATAATAACAACATAATTTTCAGATATACACCATGAATTAGTAGTACTTTTCTTTTTTCTTAATGTGTTCGATGAGCTTGTAAGGAGTTTTTTAGTATCTAAACTATCTAAATATTCATAATCATTGTGAATACCTAAAAATGTTCCATACAATATCAATTCCATGTTCAAGTCAATTGTTCTTACCTGGTATCCTATCAATAGGTACTGTTAACAAAGAAGGAGTTACACATTCTGAAATACAGTCTTGTATGTATTGAAACCGATTCAAGGAAATATCCCCTAATAAATACTCATCTCTGCCACAAACTTTTAAAACATACTGTGAAACCCTTTCATTATTTATATTCAATAGTTGAGCCCTTTTAGCTAAAATTCTTTCCAATAATTCTGTGGGTTTAATATTGGGAGGTACATCAAATTGAAATGAACTTTGCAAAATATTTTGACTGCCAAAGTCGTGAGTATCTAAAATACTTGATTCGTATTCACATTTTGCTTCTACCCGGATATTAGTCTGACTTCCAATGTTCTCTAGCCCAACACATACATCCTCAGCCATTCTTGGTGGGAATTGATAGAATAATTTTTGTTGCCAATTGCCACGGTTTCTTTCTTTGGCAATACGTTCACCCATTTTACGCATGTTGAATCGGAAATCATTTATTTCTGAACTGTTGAGAGCATCAAACTCTTGCAAACCTCCAAGGAAAAACATAATTATAATCGTTTTTCCAACAAGAAATATCGCAATGCGATAAAGATAACAAAATTTAGATAATAGGTTTTTTTTTGGAAATAAGCTAATCAATAAATCAAGCTTTCTGCTGTACAACATACACACCTCAATACAGACATTCAATAAAACACACGGGGTAAGAATAACTAAAATAGAATACCATTCATTCCATGCTACAAAGGGAAAATAAGATATCACAATAAATTTTGGCCATGAATATGTAGTACATTTATCAAGGGATGGGATCTACTCCAGTGTGTCTTTAATCCATTTGATTTGAGTCAGGTTGGTTATATGTTTCCCAGACCTGTTACGATATATTGCATTAGAGATGTACGTAATAAATTACAAAAAAAAAAATTGGTGAAAGCCTTTACCCATGACTTTCCTCGGCAAATCATCCCACCCTTTTGCCGATAAATATCAAAATTTCAGGTCTCAATCTTGTAGAGCAGTTGAACCTATAGGCCAGAAAATTAAGGTTTTACTACGCAAACTCGATGGTAGTCGGGTTTTATAGATTTTGGGGAGCTAATTACGAATCTGACACATCACAAAAAAAGTTCTCCCGAATCACCTCTTTTCAAGCTCCTAAAGAGGGTAGTTTTTGGTTTTTTGCAAATGTAGCCTTTCGGTTGCGTTTTGCACAAAAAAACCCTAATGGTAAATTAGGGGACTATATTCCCTACAATTTCTTCAGCGTCAACCCATGAAAGGCGCGCAAAAAACGACATATTAAGCATTCGCATGAAATGCATCGAGTGGTAGAAATTTGAGAAAAACTACTTTTTGGAACAGTTTTTATTTTTTTCGGGGAGTTGCAGGGACAAAGTGGGGGTACAGTATGGAAAGTTTTGAATAACAGCCCTACATGAGCAATCTCTGAAATTTGAACACGCTAGCATTAGCCATTCAGATCATATATAGGTGTGTTTTTTGAACGATGAAACCCTGTATTTCAAAAATGCGTGATTGCATTATACCAAAAAATCCGTCATACATCCATGATGAGTAGCCACAGATTTTCAGGTCGATTCGCATTTGTTTTGATGGAAAAACATCTTCTGCAGAAGCAGTGAGTAGTCACCTTTGGGACGTCACCCTCGCTAAAGGGTAGGTGATGGACATATGCTGCCGGTGAAGAAAATGTAGGGAATATAGTCCTCTGTAATTTAACATGAAGGTTTTTTTTTTGTGTAAAACGCACCAGAAACGCTACGCTTGCAAAAAACAAAAAGCTACCCCTTTAGGAAGCTACGCTTGCAAAAAAACCAAAAGCTGCCCCCTTTAGGGGCTTGAAATGAGGCGATCCGGCTGAATTATTTTTGTGAATGTGCCAGATTCGTAATCAGCAACACAAAATCTATAAGAAAAAAAATAAAACCTGACTACCATCGAGTTAGTAAAACCTTCGTTTCCTGGGCTACTAAAGAACTTTCAAATTCTATTCTTCTAAAATAGGTAGTTTTGAAAATATATGACAAAATATTTTTGAACACAAAGGGCCTCATGTCTTGAAAAGGAATAAAAAATCGACAAAAACAAGAAACTATCGTAGTAAAGTCCAAGAACAGTAACTTTTTGAGTTTTTGCTAATATAACCAACTTCTTATCATTCACTGGTCCCGTCAGTGACCCATAACTTTTGGGACACTCTGTATATCTGCGAACGAAAACCCTTACAGTGGCGTTGTTGGTAGGTGTCCATCGTGTATACTAAAAATTGTTATTCTAGGTTAAGCAGTTATTGAGCTAGAGCGCCAACCTTGGCGCCAACAGACGGACAGTTTTCCAAATTCAATAGTTGTTTATTATCCTGCACTTTAGTGGCAAGACTTTTTTTTTTTGGGAAATAATAAATTGTCGTAGAAAGCATGATCTTTCAGATACCCATTTGGAAGGGCCGATTCCCTCAAAAGCCAACTTGCAAAAATATAAGTTGGTTTAATTTCTAAGTATGTATCTTAGTTCTATTTTGAAATATTTATTTATCCTATAGCTTTTATGTTTTCGTATGTATTTTTTTTAGAATTTATGTAAAAATCATAAGCTTTTTGGTGAGATATAAAAGCTTTTCCACCTACATTATTATTTGTCATTATTAAGAAATAAGTGAATTGGTAGATATTTTTTTGGACCCAATAACTGAATTTGGTTATTCAATTAGGTACCAAAAAGCAGTAAGTGTGATTGGACAATTAAAATTATGCTTTAAATAATAATTCCGAATTAACTTGGCCCAATTCTCTAAGAAATCCCGAAATTTACAATTTCTAAGATGTCTGCACCTTCTAATTCTAAAAACATGAAGAATTTTGGAATTTTGTATCTTTATTGGCTTTCAGTGGTTATTCCAATTCTTAAAAAAGGAATTCCACTGAAAGTCAATGAAAGTTTCATTTTTCCTATGACAAACCTTTTCCTATCAAATGTCCAATCGTTATATTAATAGAATGATCTACGGAATTCAATCTGCATTCGGATATGATCAGTACAGCACCAGTAGGTCTAATGTCACACAGTTTTCTAGATTCATCATTCAATTCTTCTTCTTCAGCCATGGAATTGACAATTTTAATGATGTACTGTGACATATCTGCCTGAAGTTTGCCATGGAGAGGAAATCTGGAGGCTTCATCCCACAGGTCCTGTAAAGGAAATTAGGTAAAAATGTATCTAACTGATGCACATTGTACTTGTAACATCTGTTTCCAGAATGACTTATGTGTTATTATTGTTTCTTTTTTCACAAAATATATTTCAGCAATATATGTATTTACAAAAGTTATTATAACATAAAAAGTCTTTAAACAGTGCTTTAAGCACTGGTATGGAGGACAAGTTAACTTTAACAACTCTAACTCTCAACCAGTAATATATCTAATCTAAAGATATATATATATATATATATATATATATATAATCAAAGCCGTCTTATTTTCTAGATTAATCTAGATGAACATCTTTCAATGAACATCTTAACATCTTCACATATTTTTTGAAGCTATGATTTTTTATTGCATTTGTTACATTCTTGAAACTTGAAAGTAGTGACAGATTGTGAAATTGGATTATTTAAACCTTTGTTAATACATAATTAATTTGCATTGATAAATATTGTTACAAGACCCCGAGCAAGACCCAGTATAACTCCTACTTATAAATACTTTCCTAATTGTGTTTGAGAGAGTAACCTAAATAAAAAATTATAATCTTCAGGAAGAACCGACGCCTTTTTACTGCTCCGCTATACTTTAAAGAGGTAGGTGAGGAGCGAGGTGAGGAGGTAGGTATTTAACATGCGTTCTCTGTATTGCCTATCTACCTGTATACCTAATATGTTCACAAATCTGATAAATTTAAAAACTTTTTAAGCCATCAATACCCAACTAGAATTAATGTTAATAAACTAGAAACACCAATTATTGCTTCAACAACCGAGAAATTGAGATCAATATTTTTTTTGCGTCCAAAATGTTATTAGCACCACACATACTTACTTAAGGCATTTAAATTTGAAAAGATTTTGTGTAGCATGCAGAGATTAGATCTATGTAAATCTAGAAACTTTTAAAAACATATTTTTTTTTTTTAGTGGATACTTTGATAAAATTATTAGTGAGTGACTCACATATACTTATTATTTTTAGGTACCAATAAGGTAAGTAGGTATATTTTTTTATTTTTGAGTGACCTATATGTACTCTTTTCTTTTATTGGTACTGAATAAAAAATATACTTAGGAAACTGTGCACATACAAGCATTTAGTTACCTATTTTATTATAGGCACCGTACCTTATTCTTATTACTATGTATGGAACTAAAGTGTGTACATAAAGTATGGAATAAATTCAATATAAAATAAATGAGGGCGTTTACAAAAAAAATTAATTTTAAAAGTGTAGGTACAGATGAAGTAGGCATATTGTAATCACGACGAGAATCACGACTAATTTGACAAGTGCTACAGTGTGGATTATGTTGATACCTGGAATGTTATTTTAGTGTTAGCCGATGGCCTATGAAAAACTAGGAGCCGTTTTTAATAATAATAAAATAATAATAACGTTTATTACGGGGGGCGGTTAACTCTGTTAAATCGGTGTACAAATGGACTTAAATCACTTTAAATCCCTTATTAAATCACATAAATCATCTTGTTTTGCTCTAAATCAGATTAAATGAGATTAAATCCCTTCAAATCTCTTTAAATCCCTCTCAAATCTTTTTAAATCAATTAAATCCCTAAAAATCTGAGATCCGGAACACTTTAAATCCCTAAATAAATTTCCTTAAATCACCTTAGTTTTTTCATAAATCATATCAAATCACGTTAAATCAGGTCAGATCAATTTAAATTTTCTTAAATCTCTTACAATCCCTTTAAATCTTTTTGAATCTAGTTAAATCTGTTTAAATCCCTTTAAATCTTTCTATATCTCGTTAAATCTTTCTATATCCTTTTAAATCTTCATAAATCTTCACAGAGTTGGAAAAAACCCGGGTTTTTTTGAAAAAGTCCAACCCGTCGGGTTTTTTTGGGTTTCTTTGTGTTTTTTTTTAGGTTTTTATGGGTTTTTTGGATCTTTTGGGGCTTTTCGGGTGTTTTCGTTTTTTTCTTCAAATTTGATTTAAAGTTTCTGCCTCGGTTTCTGCTCTAGCAAAAGTATTACAAAAATTATGACTTTTGTTACAAAAATAAAATATCCTTACAAAATAAAGCAAGCCACTTGATATAGATAATTACACTTGGCATCAGTGCATTGCACCACACACCTCTGGCAAGCCAGCCCAGAGACTCCGTGTCATGTAGAATTCTACATGTCGACAGGATTCTATAGACTCGGCACATTCGATATGTTGAATTCTAAACCTACATGGCACTGAGTCCCTGCCCAGACCTCCACGCCAAATGCCAACAGGGACTGGAGAATCATCGGGGAATCCCTGATATTTGATATTTCCTGTGAAAATGACTTTCATTCAACTGAAAATTTGCTATTTTTGAAAAAATCCAAAAAACCCAATAATGGTGGGTTTTATCAATTGAAAAAACCCGAAAAACCCCACTGGGTTTTATAACCTGGGGAAATTCTATGCCAACCCTGAATCTTCATAAATCTCCATAAATCATTTCAAATCGATAAAAAAATGGTTAAAATCCCGCGCAAACTTTGGGCGACTCCAACTCGACAAACCTCGAGGTGCAATCGCTTATATTCGTTTGCGCATGTGTGTTTTTGTTGGCAGCACAGGAAGAATCTTCAAATTTTTTGTGAATTTAAATTCAAGTTTCAATTATTTAATTGCATTGTGTACCAAGACTAGCTGACTTTGATGGCACTTTTAGAACTGATAAGGTGTTCTCATTTGGGCTAAATGGCCGTCGTAAGTTGGAATTTCTTCCTAAGAAAAAGGAAGAAATTCCAACTCACGATGGCCATTAAGCCCGAATGAAAACACCTTATCAATAAACCTGGGCCGCAAAAGCCTCACAAACGTTATCACTTTCAGAATTTTTTTTATTAGTTCAAAATTTAAATTGAACTATTATGAGAGCGAAAGTACCCATTAGCACTAAAATATCTGGTTATTAGATACATTTTCATCTTCTCAGGATTAAATTAATTACCTTGAATCATCCCAGGTTAAATCAGTTCAAATCGAGGTTCAGATCTTAAAAAAATCTTTAATCCATTCAAATCTTCTTAAATCAGGTTAAATCTTCCTAAATCAGGTTAAATCTTCCTAGATCAGCTTAAATCTTTTAAAATGATCCAATAAATATTTAAATTACCTTAAATCAGTTAAGGTTTGAATAAAAATCTCTTAAATCCGATCAAATCTGTTAAATCAGTTAAAATCAAGAGTGATTTCAAATCGGTGTAGTGATGTAAAATGCTCGAGCAAGTATTTGAGGAGAACGTTCTCCGAGCAGGATCGAGAATTAACGAGAATAAACGAGCAAAAACGAGCAGGACCCGAGAATTTATGCTTTTTATCAGAAGCTGAATAAAACAAAACATTTTTCTAAATAAATTCTGATTTTTCTCAAATTTCCCGAAATTCCCAAATTTCTCGTGAAAGTTCTGAATATTCTGAAAATTCTTCATAAATGTGCTGAAAATTCTCAAACTTCTCAGGAAAATATACTTAATACATAATTAATCACATAATTTGTGAATTGTGTCTTGTGTCATGTTTGATAACAATAATTATTCTAATTTGGGGTTTTCTGTGAAACTTTAACATACAATTATCATTAGGATTCTTTTTTTTTTAATAATAAAATAAAATAGTGACTTTAGCTTGAGTATATTCCAGTACAACGCTACCTTTGCTTCCAAAAAAAAAAAACTATTACTGCTAAGTTGCTTCCTGGTTCTCGGGCTCAATATTCGATATATCTCCGCCTTCAACAGCTTCCATAAATATATCTCTATTTATTGGTTAGGATCGTGCTTGAGAACGTGCTGAATATTCTCCATCGTGCTCAATGTGCTCCAAAGGTAATATTCAGCACGAACCTTTTTTTCGTGCGCGAACGTTCACGAATGTTCTCGAAAGCACAATCAGAACGTTCCCTTGTTCACATCACTAAATCGGTGTACACATTTTGAGGAAGTTGACCGCCCCCCGGTTTATTATGCATCAAAAGAAATTACATAAAAGGTAACATTCACGTAATGTGTTCTTCCATGCTACCCGTTTTGCTGTTTTGCTCTATTTCAATCCGTTTGAACTCTACAACCGTTCAAACTTGAAAAATAATAGTTTTCAAGTGTGAATATTTAAAATTAGAATTTTCGGTGGTCCAGAAATGTCATAATATACAGGGAGTGCCATTTAAAGAAATAAAGTTGATTCATTTATTTGATACTGAGGGGTGAGGTTTCTTCCACACTTCATGTACACACTGTATACTTATTATGAATGAGACTGTAACAAATACCTAATTTGTTATATTGATTGATTGAAGCTGATTCTAATTTATATGTTTGATCTAATGTGTTGTCTTTACTTTATGGGTTTTACCTAATTTTTTTTTTCAGTGTAATTAAAAATCTGCTCAAATGATAATATTATCTTACTTACCTCTTTGATATCAGCCAATGTAGAATGATAATTAACTTTAAGTAGAACAATGACGCCAGTAGGTAGTAAACACGTAAGTTCAACCACAGGACTTTCTGAAGATACCTGATTCCAAAAATCAGGCATATACTCATCAGGTATAGGAACCATGTTGCTATAGGGGCCAATTTTGACTTGCACTTTATTGATTGGCTAGAAAAGGACTAGAAACAAGAACTTGCAGGGCGTTCCTGATGAGTTCAAACAAAGATGAAACGCCTAAAAAGCTCGCTGATGAGTCTTGGATCTGCAGCTCAGGGGGTCAATTTCCAGATTTCCAGTCACCTACTAAGTATGTCCTTGACTTGACGTTTGTTACTATCTAAAAGAATTGTTACAATAATTACAATTTCAATTTGTCTGGATAGAAACTGACCATATATCCATGGTTGAAATTATAACGTTATCTATAATAGGTATATGAACAAACCACTATTTCCTCCAAAATTTTCATGAAGGATAAATACATGACAGACACTTATCATTCACTCAAAACTAATCTATTGAATCTCGCTGGTACTTTCCAAATTTCCTGTTAGATTCACTAATATTTTCGCGTTTTGCTTCGTCTTAAAAAAATTGGGTGCATAGATTTTTTTATTTGTTTGGAAAAAACAAAATATTGTTTTTGTCACTGACCGCTGACATAACAGATATGGACCGGCCCTCCTGCCCATCAAGGATAGTACACACTACTACTACAGGATAGCCTATCTTCATAAGGCCTGTGTGGAACAAATCTAAAGCCATCCACGACGCCAAATCACCAGTTGTGACGTAGGCAGCATGTCGTTTCTCGCCTTGAAGTAGAATGTTTGCACTCACTACAGGTTATGATTCCGCGGGCTTTTGCTTTATGCGTATATAGTTTTACTATTAACATTCTAAAACAACTCTTTTTTAGATCTCGTTTTCATCTTCCTCTTTGCCTCCGCTAGTGCAAACAGCTGACGACTTAGTTATGACGTCGGATATGGTGACACACCAATATGGCGGCGGCGATTACCGAAAACGAGGCCAATAAGCAATCCTTAGTAGCGTGTATTATCCTTGCCTGCCCATGGCCATAAACGCTTGAGTTCTTTTCACGTGGCTCCGGTTTAACTAACCGAGTTACAAAACGGTTAGAGAAATGACATACCGTTTTCTAACCCGGTTACAAAGTGACGTGCTGGATACCTACCACTCGAATTTGAGCGGTATGTTGCGGTTTGTTAAACCGGAGCCACGTGAAAAGGGTTTTGGCTTGTTGGTTGCGTACTGTCAACATTAAGCCGCGTCCACACCGAAGTCGGATTTGCCGATCGGCAGAGCCAGCTTCTTTCGGCAGGTGTGGACGTGCCAGGGCTGGCACTGTAGGTGAGTTCGGCTTGGCATTTCTTTTGACTCATTTGACACTTTTCACTGCAAAATCGTTCGGGTCAAGCCACTGGGAGCAAACAGTGCAAGCTCCTCATCGTTCGGGTACAGCCAAGTAGAGTGAAAAGGGTTAACTCCACAAGCACCACCTCGCGAGATGAAGCTCGAGGTGCGGGTATGCGCCCTTCTTATATTTCCAAAAGGCGGTAAAATTTGAGTTTTCGATAATTCACTATGCTAACGATCCTAACCTAAAAACTTCAAAGAAGATTTTTTGCTTAGAGCTTGGCTGCCTCCTGGGGCTCCTGGTAGAAAAAATGGCATCGCTCCATAAAATATAACTGCTCTTTATCCGCTCCAACTCTGTTTTGCCAAGCCGAACTCACCTTCTGTAACGAATAATAGAGATCGTTATTCCTCTCGCTATCGCACTTCCGTCTTCTTCTGTCTCATCAAAATCAATAGAGGGGGGGGCGTCAATAGAGAAGGGGCGTCAATAATAGGTCTGTTTCTGCAGAAATCACAAACCAGTCGGAGTGAATTTAATTGGTTGAAACTAGTTTTCTGACTGTTTCGGACTGGTTGCAACCAATGAAATTCACTCTGACTGGTTTGTGGTTTCTGCAGAAACAGATCTAAGTAATAGAGATGTCGCTATTCGTTACAGAGCAGTGATATGTATACTACCGTTAAGCCTAGTACTCATAACTGCGAAATTCGCTCTTTTTTGACATTGCTTCGACAATATGACGTTTGATTCACGCATAAAACGTCAAATTGTCGACGCAATGTCAAAAAAGTGCGAATTACGCAGTTATGAGTACTAGACTTTACGTTCGGTATTTTGCTCAAAGAGCAGAGCGTGCTGAGCGGAGCCGTAATGTATCCGAGGGCCCGAAATTATAATAAACAAACTTAAATATGAGCCTGAAGCAAGAACACTTTTTAAATAAACGAACGGTAAATTCAATCTCGGAGAACTCAGATCAAAATACCGAACACACGGTACGTAAATGGAATGGAACCACCATTCATGTACTAGGGGAGTATGAAAGGTATGGCCGTCTTTGTCTTGCGCATTACTGTAGGCGGACTAGATGGATTTTTTGTGCTCATTTGTTTTTTTTTTTATGCAAAAACTTTTGTAATAATCAATACAAACAGAAAAATAGGTAATTAAACTTGATGTGAGCTAACTATGATTGCAAAAAAAGTCTCGCGCTATAAATTCACCACACTAGCTGCTTCTTGATTTTATAAAAATAATATTCAAATTGCCAATAACAAAGGTTGATAGTCCACTGATGGCACTGATAATCTTAAAAAATGGTAAAAACGTACCATTGCCAGTGAACTTGTGCGCGTGCGACACGACAGAGCCAACAACCTTTTTTATTTTCGTTTTCACTCTAACATAAGTAAAGTAGGGTTAATCCAATCCTCGAGCAAAAATATCACAACCCCATGCAGGGTTGGATGGGACGACCGGGCAACCGGGCAACCGGGCAACCGGGCAAATGCCCGGTGGGTCGGTATAACTCTGGGCCGGTCGGGCCGCAGGCCCGACGCGTCTTAAATTAATATTAAAATTTTAAAATTTATATATTTGACAAAAACATCATGAAAACTATCTAAAACAATATTAAGGCTGTCCGAATATAACCAGGGTTGTGGTTTCGCGGTTCGAAAGCGATCAAATTACTCTGGTACCTGGAAAAGTGGTTACTTTGGACCTTGGTTTCCTGAAATTTGGTTTACCAAATGTCAAAATCGGATGTCGGTTCTGTTGGTTTTATCTGTAAATTCTGTCAACAATTTTTTATTTCATATTCGCGTTCCCTAGGTTTTTTTTTTTTTTTTTTTTTTTTTTATTTGTCAAAGACATTGTGTTTATTACATTACAATCTAGTCAGTAAGACTAATTAGCAATTTTGTTTTAACCTAATTTACTATAAAGTTTACAATTCTTGAGGTTCACTCAACAGTTTTCCCCACTTTGCTTAAACTGTAAATCACAATTTTGATGTGTTTATAGCACTGTTTTGTTGTGTTTTTCAATTTCAGTTCACTAGCTCGAACGGCTTCACCCTTCTCAGTCTTCTAACTAGCTCAGTATTGTCTAGGAGCTCAATGACTTCCACATTCACATGCCGATGTAGTCTATCTTCATGGCTTTTTGCGTACTTTCTTATAGTCTCTGTTAAAGTATCAATTCCTAGTTCCCGATGTAGATCACTATTTCGAACGTACCAAGGTGCATTAACAATGTTTCTTAGTACTTTATTTTGGAATCTTTGAATAACTTGTATATTACTATCTTTAGTGCAACCCCAAAGTTGAATTCCATATGCCCATACTGGTTTCAGTATTTGCCTATAAAGTAATAACTTGTTATGTATGGTTAAATTGGACGTCCTTCCAATTAACCAGTACATTTTTCTATACTTAAATTCAAGCTCTTGCCTTTTTTTCTTAACATGTGCTTTCCAGCGCAATTTCGCATCAAGCGTCATACCAAGATATTTAGCTTGATTTGAATATGGTATAGGCAGTGGCGGCTCGTGGTATAACATATTGGGGGTGCACATAATTTGTAATTCATAATAAATGCCGAAAGGGGGATGCCCGCCGCAGGCGCCGCCGGAGGCGCGAAATTTTTCGGGGTGCCACGCCCAGAAGTGTTTATTTTAGGCCTTTAAAAAAATAATTTATTGTAAGTGATCGTATGAGTTATGTGATGTGTTTACCTACCAATAATTAAAAATATTGTTAAGGGATTTCATATCTACCCTACCAAACAACCAACTAAGCTCAATTTAATACTTTTTTCGGTCTATCAAATCGTGGAAATTGAAGGATCTTATATCAATAAACTAGAAATTAAGTAACAAAGTAACTTACCTCGCTGAGTACATCGTCCTGGTCTAACAATTGTTTTTATACATAAATGTATTATAGTTTTCAATCTCACAATTCTCACAGACACGTTTTGTATTGAAAGATAAGAGTAAGATGTGATTTTGAGTTTTGATGTTTTTTAATTTTTTCGGATAAATGTACTAAATCTTTAACGCCGGATTTTGTCCATTCTGATGCTTCATCGCTTCCAAATAACAAACAGGGAAAACAGTAAAGACTATTACTAACATCACAACCGCACAACCAGTCAGTTTTTTCGTAAGTTTCCATTTTAAAAGTTCGTTTATAATCACGACTTTTGCATTTTGTTATGTTGGTGATTATTAAATTTGGCTTTGGACGGCCGACACATTTGATTTGGATTTTTTCCTCCAAAGAAAGCGAAGAAAATTTAATTGTTTTTAAATATTGCACGCTAAGGCTATCGGGGTTCAGAAATCCCGCCATTCTACACACAGTTTTCAGTTAAATCGCGCTCGAAATCGAAATAAATATAAAACAACCGCTTGCGATCCCAACCAAAGTGCACTGACTACATGTGCACACCAGCCAGCTTAATACATCGAACGTCGCTAGACCTTCGCGGGGAACAAAGAGTGCGGGGGGGCATAGTTCCACCAATTGGATTTAATATTGAAATGTGCAGTGAACGGAGCGATCAGGCGACGCGGTGGACGCTGTGATTCCAGCGTTGCCGGTTGCGTTTGTTTTGCTGGCGCATTTGGCCACTAATTTTTTAAATTAATACTTTACAGGTAGAATGTTAAAATTTGAAGAATGATAAAATTAAATTTAAAGTTGTTTGATAATAATTTGGGAGTGCACGTGCACATGTGCTCTTATGGAGGAACCGCCACTGGGTATAGGGGTGTCATTGCGTTCCCTAGGTAACCGGAATTTTCAATAACCATCTGTCAACCGGATCGGTTACTCAGAGATATGTGAGGGAAATAGAATGCGCGTAGACGACTGCGCATCCGATTTTATGGTAACGCAAAGGGGGCCGCCATTTTTATCTTTTTTTACTTATGCCATTTCCGATTAGTTAGTGATAGTGCAGTTTTTTTTATTTCTGTCTTTTTCTTCTACAGGTTGATGAAAAAGGATGAAAACACACTCAGTGCGCATTAAATCTACCAATCGGAAACGCCATTAGTTTTTACGTTGACAACTTCAATCTGACAGAGTTTTCACAACATAACCTTGCTTTTGGTCGGTTACAGACTTTGAATATAAAGGCAACATGTGTATGGCCGACCAAATGTTAATTTTTCAATATTCGCCTTACTCAATCGTTTGGTGGTCGTTTGGTGGTCTTTGATATCCCACTTTTAGTATTTGGTGGTAATTACTTAGGCAGTAATTAACAATTCAAAATTTCATATGACGTTGGCCGACATAACCTGATTCTAATTTATTTTTTGGCCCATTTATAGTCAAATCGAACGGAAATCGTTTGGTGGTCACGAATTTACCGAATTTAACGTTTGGTAGTCAATAATACCGGAGATATTAATCAATTAAGATTGTTTTCTGATATATTCT